AAACCTAAGCTTCGCAAACATTTCTATGTTCAGTCACGGGATATTCAACTCTTGTTTAATTAAACTTAATTAAAATGCAATTCTCCATTGTATTGCATTGTAATTGAGTTTAATTAAACTCCAATTAAAACGCAACCCTATATAGGAACGCGTTTTAATCGAGTTCATATCGCAACTATATTAAAAGTTAATTCAACTATATTAAAAGTTAATCCAATGTAGTCCTCGGAACATATTGCAATACAAGTATGTGTGTGTGTGTGTGTGTGTGTGTGTGTGTGTGTGTGTGTGTGTGTGGGTGCGTGCAATAAAGTGCCATTGCTTGAAACGTCAAGTTGTTTTCAATAATTACTTAGGACAACGTTTACCAAATATTATCTACCATATTTCAAGTTTATTTTCTGGTTTCCAACCCATGTACATTGTCATTATAGTCCAGCTAGTGGTGTTCTGTTTACTCAAGACATGTTTTGTGACTTTATATGGAGATGTTCAATTGGATAATGGTGGCCCATTCATTTGTTTTGTCAGAAAGACAACATTTTTTTTTTGGTGAAAGATGACAACTGCTGAAAGTTATGAGTACCAGGGTTCTCAAGTCCCCTTGACAAAATGTAGGCATTTTTGTTTTGATTCAGTTCAGGACGTATTGTCTCTGTTTGTTTCCATGGTAACAAAGATTTTTACTTCCATTGGCAACCATTTTGAATTTTTAAAAATTTGTGTAGATGCATTTTTATCTGGTCAGATTGTCACAGAAAAGTGTCAAAGTGATTGTATACACTAGCCTAACTCAAAGTCTCCATGCAGCTAAACATTGCATTTATAGGGCGGAGTCTTTGACTTGGCCTAAATACTTTATTGCTCTAACTTGATAACTGAAAAGTATTTTATCACAATTTCATGATTTGCCCAACCTTTCAAATGTTTCTCTTTTTACAGGCTTCTCTACAGGGTTCACTTTAAGATCAATTCTTGACTGGGCATGGAACAAAGTAGCAAACATTAAGGAATCATTGGATAGAATTTGTATACCACTGTATGATGGCTATGGGACTCACCTTGATCAGCAGACTATGCAGGCGCTAGACCAAAATGCTTTGCAGCTAAATCACATGGTATTGATATTCCAGGCTCTGCTTGATCAGTCGGGGTCCACCACTGAACAAGGTAAGTGAATATGGATTCTAGAATCATCATTGTTCTTAACTTTAATAGCGGCTGTAAGCATCTGTGCTACCGGTAGTTAGTTCACATTGGTGTGTATGTTGGATGTAAACTATTGCATCTGATTTGTTACATTGTGGGTAGACATGAGTTCATCAGTGTGCTTAACACAAGGCCTCATTCTTTTTATGTGACTGCCGGTGTATAAGCGCTGAATGATTTCTTCTCATTCAAACAAGAAAGTCATACATGTATTGAACGGTTTGTGTTTGATTCTGTGTGTGTATCTGTCTGTCTGGGTATGTGTGTGTCTGTGTGTTTGCGCGCCAATGCCACTCCTCTTCAATCAAATTGATTTAATATTCTTGGACACTATAATGTAAAAAATTAGTGGAGTTATGCTACTTAAATCTCCTCAAAATGATCTGAATTGAGAGTGATAATTAGCCCTTGTGATTCATTATTTTCATAAGTCAGGGGAGAGATCACTTTACAGTCAGATCAGAGATGGCCGACTGATGGCCATCTTGTTTTAAAAATACATATGTGCAATTCTTTCTAAGACGTGTTTGGATTGCTGTGATTGATTTTCATTTTTTTGAAAGCCGTTCATTCAGTAGTTACCGTACTACCAATATGTACATTTGTAGATGTAGTTGTTCTTTGCTTGAATGTTTTATGAAATACAGTTTTAATAATGAAACAATGTTTGGATAAAGTTGTCACACTAGATTGTAATCTAGTGCTGATCTGTACACTACATGTTTTGTCAGTCATATCACCATGGAGATAGACAAAAATGTCAACAAATGACATCACATTATAATGTTCTGGGAACTTTTATCTAACAACTAGACAGCGCCCTCATTGGCTGGTGGATACAACCAGTAATTTTCTCAGCATTAATTCTGGTGTTAAAATTGCATTATTAACAAGAAATAAAACTAAATATATGATTGTTATATCACTTTTAATACTGATTAGCTGACACTTTCTTAATGATCAATACAAACAATCAAAAACTTGTTTTGATTGTAATAGTCACATTTATCAGAAGGATTGAAATAAACATTATGGCAGTGAATTTAGAATATAAATAAAAGAAATCAAACCTCTCTTGTCCTCTTCATGTAAGAAGCGTCACTTTTATAATGCAGTGTTCAATTTTTCTCTTCTTCGCATAAATTAAAAATGCATCAGTTTCAGTACTGACATGCGAATAAATAACTTAAAATAAATCCTGAATTGGTTCAATTCTATCAAATGTTGTTTTTACAGTAATGTATAAAAATAAAAAAAGTGTAGGAATATACAGATAACCTTCAAGCGTTATTGCAATAGATCTTATTAATTTTTTCTGTTCAGACAAAGTCTGAAGTCTTTTTTATGCTTCTTCCCTTCCATGCATCATTCGATAGTACATCAACAATCTATAATGACATACACATGCATGACAAGTTATTTGAGGGAGAAGCCTACTCATGAATGAAAATACCCCAAATTTATTCATTTTGCAATAAATTGTACTATGGGGCATTTTCATTAACACTGTGTTTTATGGTACTGTTCTAAAATAACTATTAGAACACGTTTCTCAAAAAACGTGACTTCCAAATAATGTTCTTTCATGAGACACCAGCTTCATTATTGTACATAATAAACATTGTCATGTGATTTATGACCAAATTTCTGCCTTAATCATCCAAATTAAAAAGGGACAACTGGAGACAGTTTAGAGACAGAATTTGCTATATCCTGATACTACATGTCCGGAACTATTATTCAAACAAATATGACATACTGGTTCTTTTCATATTCTGTATGCTGACATCTAAAGAAATAAAAAAAAAAAACGCAGAGACTCAAATTTTACACACAAGTAATAGAGAATGAAAGTGATACAGTTTTGGCTTTCCCCACTGTCATTCCTATTATATGAACATCTCATCTTTCCATGTATTCATTCTTTACATGTGTGTAATTGTTATCAAAACCAAATAATATCTATCTTGACCTTTTTGACCCCTTTAATTTGAATTCAATTCTTTCATCTCTGAAATATCCCAGCAATAAAATAGTAGTGCAAAATAATTTCCACTTTCTTTACATGCATTTCAGTGAGATGAATGAAAATTCCATATTGAATTGAAAAGTAATATTATGTCGGTTGTGGCACGTTTCATCAACAAAAAGTTGGTCTTTGTTGAAATAAAATTTCAAAGTTTCAATATTCAGACAGAAAAATATATAAAATAATTTTACTAATATTTATTTTAAGGTCAATGAATGATTAAAGGTTTTTTTAGGGAATAATTTCCTTTAAACAAATTGGTGTCAACATTTTATGGCTTCATCATATGTTTTAACCTTTTCACCACCAGTTCCCTCTTTTTATCACAAACTCACAAAATAGTCCTGTTTATAGTCTGCACTTTCCTTCCAAAGATTAGGACAAAAATAGCCAAATTGTTTGAGTAAAAACCTAAAATTGACTCAATTGTGTCTGTTGGCTCCAAAATTAGGGTTCATTTTCCAGAAATATTGAAGAACATAAACAAAACAGTGCTGAACAATTCTGGTGGTGAAAAGGTTAATAAGCACTTGCATAATTTTATATTGCTTATGAATGTTAATTAGCTTATTGAAAAGAGCAATCAAATGCGATACACAAATAAGTTCATCAGTGGTGCAGTGTGAACTGTTGGCAGTAGGAAACTACTTGGAATATCGGATTCCAGTTGTTTCCGAGGCAGTTTGTCTTCTACCATGCTCTGGCAATATCACGTCTTTCATTCGTTGTATGACTGAAAACCAGACTGAGCTGTTATCATCCTCCTTGAGCGTATCCGCAATTGACATCAGTTCACTCGTCCCAAATTCTATATACTCCAATTGTTCGAGGTCGTCGAATAGTTTACTTGGCAAAAGGTGCAGATTGTTGTGGCTCAGCAGCAGCGTTCTTAGGGTCTTTACCCCAATGAATGAATACTGTTCTAGCTGCGATAAGCCATTCCCGCTGATATCCAGGAATTCTAATTTATCCAAGTTCTCAAATGTGTTATTGGATAACATACGCAGCAGATTACTGTTAACGTGAAGCTGCTGTAGCTTCTTTAGTCCCGGAACCAGGCTGTTGGTGTTGTGAAAGCAGTGGCTTATCCTTGATATCTGGTTGCCATTGAGGTTTAATACCTTAAGCTCAGCTAATCCATCAAATGCGAACTCTTCTATAGTGGTAATTTCATTAAAACTTAAATCCAGGTGTTGTAGCTGTGAAAGGTCCATGAAAACCTCGTTTAACAAATTGGTCACCCGATTATGCTGCAAGTACAATTCTTGCAGCTGTATAAGTCCACTAAAAGTCATGACGGGAATAGTCGTTACATTGTTGATGCTAAGATCAAGGACCTGCAACATTGAAAGCATACTAAATAGATAATCGAATAGGCCGATTATGTTATTGTCACGTAGGTTTAATTGTACAAGTCGTATTGGCGTTGAGAAAATCCTCAATGGAAGGTCAACAATTTCATTGTCGCTCAAATCCAGGATTTCCATGTTGACGTTATTTAGGAACAGACTTGTTTTTACGACTTCAATTTTATTTTTGCTAAAATCCAGGTGGTGTAAATCAATAAGATCTTCCAGAGCATGCTCCTCAACAAGTATGATTTCATTCTGGCTGCAGTCGAGCGTTTCGATGCGACTTGGGAGCTCATTTTCTAATATTTGTGTAATATTGTTATCTGAGAGATCGAACGTCTTTGCGCTGCCGGGAATGCTTTGTGTTGGTACGCTCTGCAACCCAACACTGCTACAATTGATGAGTTTCACAGAGCTGCTCATATCACACGTGCAGTCTTGTGGACATGCGTTAATACGAGCTATATGTATGCTATACAATACGTATATGCCTAACACCCATCTTACATCTGGTGACAAGTCTTTCATCTTGGCCATGATTTCTCAGGTCTATAAAGCAAAATAAAGATAGATATATATAAAATGAGAAAACAATAGTACGTATTGAAATGACATTCCAATTTATTTTGGAAAGTTTAATTCACATATATTTTTCCTGCCAAGTTTTTGGTGAAACATTTTTTTAAATGTGTATTTTTTGATATTTTTTTTTATTTTGAACCAAATAGACATCATTGTCTGTTGACTGGAGTTCTTAATCAAGATTTATGAAAAAACATAAGACTGAGTTCTATTTGGTAAAGGTGACAAAAGTTGATTTTGGTCTTGCTCAGTGTGAATTGATTGTCCAATAGTCCCGTTTTAAGTACGTGATTGATGTCTTAGGGCGTCAATCGTAACATCTCCTGGAACAAGTAATTCTCTCTAACTCGCACAGTAATAACAACTTGACATTGACAGATGCAGAATTAGACACATGTGATATATTCAGTAAAAAAAAATATGTAAAAATTTTGTTTTTGACTATGTACGTCATTTCTATTTTTAAATATTACATTGAATTTCAAAGCAGCTATTGCGTGCGTTGTTCGCATCCTTAAAAAATAAAATCTAAAAATAAAATTTATTCCATAATCTGTGAATTTGCTTTTTATCAGAAAGTAATGAAAACTTGTATCAGAACAAACAAACAAACAAACAAATAAGATTGTGCGTACATGCGATTCAGGATGCTCACAGGCAAAAAATGTTTAAGATAAAATTATACTACAGTGTATTCCTTTTATTGTTTATAAATACATTTATAAATATTTGTAAATACCTGCTTTCAACATTAATTTAAATTCAAATATATAATTGTGATTGCTTTGTGGTCCCCCACTGATATTATATGTACATGTACATGCTTTGAATCACCTCTGAAGGTGATGTCATATTTGTGACTGCCACTTTTTCAAATTGAAGTGTTTGCTGGTTGAATGACATTGAACTAACTCTATAGTATTAATTTATACCCTATATGATGTCACACCACCATTTCTGAATTTGTAAATTGGAATTCTAAGAACGAATTTTAAAAGTGATAGTCATCATAGAGGGATTGGTTGAATTTTTAGTAAACAATGTATTTTACATGTACGTGCATACATTACATGAGATCCGTATCATTCAAGGAATACCATTAAATTCAAGGAAGCTATAAATCTATTTTATGTAAGAAATGTGGCCTAGATGTGCCACCAAAACGCTCGAAATGTTATGTTTTTGCTGCTATTATGAAAATTAATCTTCACAAAAGTCACTGTGACTTCACATCTTAATTATCCAAAGTGATAGCTCACTGTTACAAAATGCTGTGATTATCTCCTTGCATCATAACATTTATCTTTTGCAAAATTTAAAGAGATTTACAGTCATCAAAAAAAATCTCTAAAATTTGTTTTTACAAATTTTTACCTTTTGAATGAGAAGTTCAAGCACTGCTATTCTGTCGAGATGAAAACCTTGAGTAAAAAAACCCTCTGTATCCTGTAATTTTGCTCCCTGGAAAGTTTTTTTTATTGACGTAATTTATACATAGCCCTGACAGTGTTCAATTACTATTATAAGTTGACTCATTTGTATAAACACAGTAGATTTATTTTCTTTTACAACATTATCCTCAACATGGGAATTGTATTACATGCCATTGGAGTGTGAAGTAGTATTTTTATAACATCTCTGTTTATCCTATTCATGAATAGAGAACTCTTCCCATCAGAATTCGTGTGAAATTTCAACAGTTTTCTGTATTTTTTTAATTATTTTGATGTGGTCAAATTACAATACGAATATGCACTTCAAACAAATACATAATGGGATATTTTATTCTCGTTTATGCATCAAACAAACCATTGAGTCATCGACAATGTTTCTAAAAATATATATAAGTAGATAGTTGTACTCTCTCCTTCATCATTTGATTACAAACCTTTACGTATTTGTAAAAAAAATTATAATTCTGACAAAAGCATGGCAGTAAATGAGAGAATATATCAAATATGTTAACATCAGGACAACTGATTTTATGGATACGAGATAATGGAAAAGTTTTGTTTTCCTACCATGGGTTTACAATGAGCCACTGAGTCGTCAAATTTTCAAATCGTCACCAACATCATAGGTCTACTGATCATTGATCAGCATTGCATTGATGGGGATCAGTATCAGTATTCAGTGTACATTCCAGATGTAGCCAATCACATCCTTTGGATGGTTGCCAGGGTAGATGAAACATGTCTTTAATCTGCGCAAAGGTCGCCCCCTGTGATGGCGGGTACATGTTGGTTATACACAATGAAAACATGTGCTGTACAGATTTTGATGTATAGACTCCTATATTGTTGTAACACATGTTTGCTCCAACACTTTGGTATTGCAAGCTTATTTTCAAGAAATTATGTTTTTGTGTGAGACTTATATATATATAATGTATATATGTACAGCCAACAGAAAAGTTTGCCCAAAACTATTAAAAACAGATTTTAGTTGTACTTTAAGAGAAGAATAATTTAATATAATGTAAATCCTGAAATGTTGATCTATTTAGGGACAATCTCATGAAAACGATCTTTGGAGGACCGAAGTCATCTTTTGTCTTCTTTCACAAAATAAAAACCCACATTTTTTTCATATTATTTTCAACATTTCGATCAAGATCTGTAGATAATAGGAAATTATGTCTATTTAGTTCAAAATTATAGAAACAAATTAAAAAACACATAAAATCAGGCAAGATGCAAAAAATGATGGTGATTAAATAGTGCTGATAAAACTGTGTCAAACACAATTTACCAAAAAATAATAGGATGGTATACATTACAGTCTTGATGTTCAAAATGGCCATCCCCCACTCATCCTGCATGATGTCCAAACGGTTTAATAAAGCCCACTCTGTTTATAATAACCTGAAGGTATATACCAACAATAACATTGACACTAAACTCAAAGTATTAACGCAATGTACTTGTACAGCTTTAAATTTGCTAGAAACTAATTTTCCGGAGTCTGGGAAAATAACAAAATTAAGTAGTGTAAATTTCACTTCCTTGACATGTGAGAAAAATTTCTAAATTTCTCGCAGTCAGCATTTAATCTTCTCTGTTTTACAATACAATACGATACAGTACAATACATGTAATACTGTGTCTACATTGTGGGTCAGAAAAATATTTTTTTTTTCATTAGTGTTTTCTAAATGTCTGTCAAAAACCTGAGAAAGGAAGCTGTGACATGACATGCACATTTTTAATTTCCAAACAAAGATCAGAAACATGAATACTTTTTTTTATCTGGACCTTACAAACTTACTAACTATAGTTTTTCCAAAAAATATTTTTGGTAAGCCATACATGTATGGGATGTGTTGAGGCAGTTAGCTGCCGTCTTTTCCCAATTACATGTCTAACATTAAAATCCAATTTCCCCTCAACAGGAAACAAAAATACCTGCTTTGTTTTCTCAAGACCTCTTTCTTAGGCCATATTTATTCAGTCATTCAGTTGAGATTTCAATGGCAGGATGTGATGGTAAACTTTCCAATTTCAATGCTGATTAAACCATTGACTGAGTTAGAGCCTTTTCATTGCATTGGTAATTATCGTTAAGTTAAAGGGTCCACTTTCATTGGCCATGTGTTCCATTAATGGGCTTCAGCTTGTCAATAAAACATCTCTAAGTGTAGACAGCAGTTTTATGATAATGCTATGTTTTGAATTTAATGCTTTTATTTTATCTTTTAGTAATATTCTGCTCACATTGTTTATGAATTTAAAAATATTTGTGAAACTAAGAATATTTCGCCCATATTTTCAGCAGAGAGAGACATGTACAATTTTGGTAGATCAGTGTGGCATCTTTGCATCACCATGTGACAGATTTGGGCAGCACAATGTGACAGATTTGGGCAGCACAATGTGACAGATTTGGGCAGCACAATGATATACTTTGATAAATTTTGTTTTTAATGACATAAATTGTTTAGTATAAAATTGTAACATTTTACTTGTGTATTAATTAAATCTGTAATTGAGTTAAAATAAACATAGTCAATGATCACTAGTTTGTATAAATTTCTGCTAACATCTTAACATCAACAGAAAATTCTTAACATCCACGCAAAATTCTAAAATAATATTAATCAGTCAGAACTGCTTTTGATGGCAAACCTTCGCCTATTTATTAAACATAGAGAAATTGGTACTTTTCCTAATTCCTAGTTACTAATTCCTCCCAACCATTTATTAAAAAAACAAACTATTTGTAAAAAAAAAAAAACAGTAAAAGAAAATTTGTATGGGAGAAATAAAATTGGGGTCAAATACCGTCTTTGTCAAGATAATGAAATATGGTATTAATATCTTCTCAGTTGAATAATTCATAATAATAACTGCAAACTTTATGTTTTAGTAAAATGTTAAAATAATAAAAATAATGCTTTTACTGAGGTTCTTTACTAAGAATACCATCAGACTTTGTTTTAAATCTGTAAGTATTTGGAAATATAATCAGTGTTTTATACTCATTGAGTTATCCTTTTCATCCCTCTTTTCATCACAAATAATCCTGTTTATAGTCCGTGCTTCCATCCGAGGATTGGGATAAAAATAGCAAAATTTGTTGAGTAAAAGCAGAAAATTTACTCAAATTTTGTCTGTTGGCTCCAAAATTAGGGTTCCTTTCCAGAAATATAGAAGAATACAAGAAAAAGTGCAGAATAATTTGGGTGAGAAAGTCTGGTTGTAAAAAGGTTTATATCTACAATATACGTGCATGTCCAATAATTTCTCCAAAAAATGCTTTCACATATTTAAAATCCAATACATAGTTTAAAATAT